ACAACAATGTCTATTTGGAAGGTGTTTGTTGGTTGTGTTGTTGTTGTTGTTGTTGGTTAAGGTGGCAGTGGTTATTGTCGATGTGTTCTCGATAAGATAGCAATGTTATGTGGCGATGTGGCACAGTGTTGCAGGGTATTTGTTATGAATAATGGGATTTTGCAGAGAAATCCTTTTTTGCAATTAAATATAAGTAAAAAAATATTTTTTCGAATTGATAATTTGAAAGGTGAAAAAACACCGGTTTTACAATGCAGACATAGACACCGATTTTGATCACTGTGTTTGATGATATGCAGGAAATGAGAACAGACTGATTAAACAATGTCTCATAAAGAATCTCATAGAGGTTTTCTATATATATAGTTTATCGAAAATGTTATCTACATATGAAGAATCCCATCATTGATCGATAGTAGATCTCATTAGGATCTTCTATATAGAAAACGTCATAAGTGTTCCTACTTATAGACAACCTTCCATAGAAGACCTTTATAATTATGCGCATTAGAAATCGATTAAAAAAGTGATCCTTATTCTTCAGCTCCTTTGATTGAACTAGTCCATTTACTAAGGTAACAAATCACATTTCGTTCACTATCTACTTGCTTGATCGATCAAGACAATAAAGCATTTCTTTTGAAGTTCTTATAAAATACTTATTTTTTTAATATACCTTACAAGTGCACTGTGGATAATAAGTAAAGGAGTATCTTTCAAGGAACATCGATTTATACAAGATATCTGAAAAGTCTTCTACAAAAAAGACCCTTTAAAAGTGTTGCAATCTATAGACACATATCCAAAAGACGTTTTTCATAAGCAGATACGTCCAACCTTTGAAAATCTTAAAATTATGGAGAAATTCCCTGAAGATTTTTTCTATTTATGGAAGAAAGTCTTATATCTTAAGAAACCCTATACCCAATGTTATTCTATCAATAGAAGTCCCTCCAAAAGTTTTCTATCTTAACAAGACAATACTCCAGAGGTCGTCTATCTGAATAAGGCTTGAGAATTAATATTCTGTATAAGAAGGCCATGCAAATGATTCTTTTCCACGCATGATTTATTAGAAAAAAAAAACATTTTAGGCTCTTCTGCCTATAGACCTCTATAAACAGAATTATTTCCAGGATTGATAGTCCTTCCAAAGAAAAGCTATTCTACAGATGACCATATAATGGAAGGAGATTCCTAAAAATGTCTTATTAAGGAAGATTTTTTTCCATGGTAACATGGAAGAAATATAAGTCCGTCCAAAAGTGTTCTTTTTTAAGAAGACCACTCCAGAGGTCGTCTATCTAAATAAGGGATCTGTGACATATTTTATAACATTAAACTCCCCTCCAAGGAGGTCTGTAGAAGGCCTTAAAAGGGGTTTAAAACTATCTGAAGACCTTCAAAATGGTTTTCAATGCAAACAGGATCTATTGTCTAGATACGACTTGAAGAACTTCTCAGTTTCTTTGGCTTATAGAATACCTTCCGTTTCAGGGATCCTCTATCTCCAGACGACCCTGAGAATTACTATTCTGTATAAAGAAGGTCATTTTAGTGATTTTTTCCACATACGATTATACCTTTCTAGGCTCTTCTGTCTATAGACATCTGATAGACCTCTATAAACGGAATTCTTTCCAGGATTGATAGTCCTACCAAGATTCCTATAAAGAAGGCCATATTAATGATTTTTTCCACATACGATTTATTAGACAAACCATTCTAGGTTATTCTGTTTGTATACATCTAAAATACCTCTATAAACGGAATTCTTTCCAGGATTGATAGACCTACCAAGAATCCTCTGAAAAGACTTCTATGTTTAGAAAAGCTATTCTACAGATGACCATATGAAGGAAGGAGATTCCTAAAAACGTATTATTAATGAAGGATTCTCTTCCAATGTTATTCTATCAATAGATGTCCCTCCACAAGTATTTAATCCTTAGAAGATCACTCCAAAGGTCGTCTATCTTAAGAAAACTTCTGAGAACGTATTTTATATAAAGGAACTCCCTTCCAAGGTATTTCCACCTATAGAAAGTCTATGATTCCTGCGTATATGAAGTACCCCTTTCCAAGGGGTTAATGTCTTGAAGATGGATTGTAATGCAAACAATACCTGTTAGGGTCTGTTGTTTACATTCGACTTATAAAGCTTCTCAGGTTCTTTGGATTACTGAATACCTTCCGTTTCAGGGCTCCTCGATCTCAAACGACTCTCATAATTAATATTCTGTATAAAGAAGGTCATATTAACGATTTTTTTCCACACACGACTTATTAGACAAACCTTTCTAGGTTCTTCTTTCTACAGGCATATCAAATACCTCTATAAACGGAATTCTTTCCGTGACTTTAAATCTGTAAATCTTTCAAAACCAATCCCAAATAATTACATAGTTGCGGTCTATCTATGGAGTTTATAATCACAGAACTCTTTCAAGGATTATTTATCTAAAAAACGCCATTTAGAGAACATAAATCTATAAAATAGTCTTTATAAAAATCCCTATTGGTCCCTAAACATTCTGCATTTTTTCGATAGAATTTATCCCGCTTAACAAAGTAGTTAAATCATATTTTGGTTGGTTTGGAATTTCTGCGGCGATTTTAGTGATGAATGTGCTATTTTTAAATATTTAAAAAAAAAACAATAAATTTTAAGATACGAACTTTCAATAGCAATTTTTATAATTCATCTCTTGTATTTATCCAAACAGTGATACATGGTTTCATATAGTCACTCCCGTCCAATTTTGGCTCTTTCTTTATTGATTTTTGGAAAAATCAAATACATTCTGAATCTTTACATTTGTGAATCTTTTGCTGTTGCATTTTTGAGTACATTGGCTCACGTCAGAATATATGGATGTTTTATCGACAGAAAAAAAACGAAATGTCAATCAGTATATATATATAGTTGGAGTCATTGTACAAATTAATTTTTAAGATTAGTTTTTTTAAATACGGCTATAAATCAAAATCTTTATGTGTTTTTTTATTAACTTAGTGTGGGGTGATAATAAAAGGAATTTTAAATTTTATTATTTTTTTAATATATATTCAGACGTAAATAGAACTTGAAAATAAGATCAGAAAATTATTATTGTTAATAAAATTATATGCACGACCTTTTTTATCCATTTAGTAAATTTGAAAAATTATTGATGATAAAGGTGGTTATGAAGATCACGATATAGAAGAATCAGGATACAAATATACATGAATAGCACTGTGTTACAATTTTTGGGGAATGGAAACTGCCTTATAGGAAATAAACCCATGGCGCGGTGGACAGATTCGGATCCGTAAATTTTGGAACCAGATATTCGGATATTGCTAATTACATATAATACATTTTTGTTAACAAATTTTAAATTCGATAAACATGTATGGGGAGGATTTCAGAAGTAATGGGCCGCTAAATATGATATTAACAAAATTTAAAAATGATTATGTTTTGTGGAGAGGGAGTTCATTGATTGGGGTTTTTATTATTTTTTCTTAAAAAATTTGGCCATTTTATGGCACAGGTTCCAGAAGGAGTGGGCCGATGTTGCCTATCATGGAACTTAAATTTGGAAAAATTTAAGATGTGCAATTTTAAATCCAACCTACCAATCCACTACAAATTCTCTAAATCGTACTTAGTCCAAAGGAACTTGGGGATTTTACCTGATATTTCGAGGTGTTACCATCATTAGTTTGACTTGATTTAATCTCTATATTTATGATATCATTAGACCGATTTCAAACCACTGTGCATCGACTGCGTATTTATTTAATCCACTGCCTTTTAATCGGGCAATAAGAACAACAACAAAAAACACATCTATTGATAATCAATAATGAGTGTGTTGTATGGCAACAAAATCCCAAAAGAGATTCTCTTTTTAGAATTAAATGTTTCTCTCTCAATGACTATCTCTTTGGCATCTCTTTTTTACAGAGATAAAAAACTACCCTTAATAAAATACATAACAAATGAATTGCCAACTAATAAAATATCCCTTTTTACATTCTTTACAGGGTTGTAATTGCAGCTAAAGCAGAAGAAGAAGCAGCTGAAAATCGACAACGACGACAACCACTTGATTGCAATGTGTTATCATCATTGACAGAGAAGAAGAAGCAGTAGCAGCATTAAACAAAAATTACCCTTAAAATAAGCAGTGTTGCCAACCCTCTGCAAGGAAGAAGAGCAAAAACATTACCGCTATTCGAGCAACAGCTAAATAACTGTTATTCAATCAGGAAATCCAATTGGGAGAGTGTGTGTATTTTACTCTCTCTCCCTCTCTCTCGCTGTTTGTGTTATGGTTTTTATGCCTGGGGATGGCAACTAAAATTGGTGGTTGTTGTGCCGAATAACCAAGTTTTCCCATTTATTGGCCCCCATTTTACGCTTCTGCGCATCACATCAGGCAATAGGAAAAACAGGAGCAGAGCAGACGACAACGACAGTTAAAAAGACACCGAAGAACAAAAGTCCAATAAGTAGAAAATTTCCCAACTGTTTCAGTGTGTGTGTGTGTCCGTTTTCTGTCTGTTCTCTGTGTGTGAGTGTGCGTTTCGTTTCGTCTCTCTCTCATCAGCAAAGCAACCGAACAACCAACAAACCAACCAACCATCATATCATCATAGCCATCCAGAGCGTGTGTGTGTGAGTGCGCGCGTTGCGGTCTTTAACAGTTCTTTTGCTCCAACTACGACGATAGCAGTACGACGACACAACGACTACGACGAGAAGGAAAATTTCACACATAGAAAACGCATCGCAAAGTTGGAAAATGTAGATACAAACTTTTTCTCTGCTCTGTGTGTTAAGTGTGCTTCGTTCGTGTCGAAAAAGAAAGATTAAAAGTAGTAGTACTCCAGTACTCTCTAGTTTAAAATATATATTTAACAAACCAAAAAAATACAAGAAAATAAATAAAAACATTATAAATAATAGTAGAAAAATTACAAAAAAAAACACACACAGAAGAAACCTAAGTAAATAATTAAGCAGAGAAAAAAACAAGTTGTAGTGAACAAAAACCTCAAGAACCTGAAAAAACATTTAGAAAAGCATTTTTTGTAGCCATCCGCTAGTCAAGAAAAGAGCCACACATACACACAAAACTGTTGAACGGTAAGAAAATAATCGAAAATAGAAAAATAAAATTAAAAAAACTTGGTCTCCTTCAAAAGCTGTTCCCAAAGCCAAAAAAATCTAACCATAACCATCATCATCGATAGAAAAAATAACTTATCATTCATCCAACTAGTCAGTCCATCATCTACCACACCATCCAACCATCCATCCTTTCATTTTTCCCCCTAACACACATATATTCCTCCTTTAGCCTGTAGCAAAAGTAGACCAGCAAAATAAAAATAAAAAGAAGAAGACAAAACAAATTTTTTTACTTTACAAAATCTCTCCATTAATCAATTGGTATTGTGTGTTTCTGTTTCTTTTGTTTCGTTTCATTTTTTGCAAAAACCAAAAATATATACCACCAAATATCGGACTCAAATCGATTCGGGCGAAATTCATCAATGCGAAAATTGGAACCATAATCCCAATTTGGTCTGGTGCGAATACGAAATCAAAAAATCATTACAGGACAAGGACTGATTAGAATTTACATATACATACACTTCCGTTATTCACATTTTCCCCCTGAATCTGGGTCAGTTGGAGTTGAGACAAGCAAGCAAGCAAGCAGGCAAGCCAGCAGCGAGCGAAGCAGTAGCAGAGAAAGCTGTAACACACACAACATACTCCTCGTCGTACACCAGCACACCAACCAACCAACCAGCCATTCAGCCAGCCAACCATAAAAACCGAGTCATTTTTATTTAGTTTTTACGGCGGAAGAGTAGAGCGCCAGCGGAGAAGTGCCTGGTGTGCCGACAACGACGACATTCAGCACCACCATCAAAGCCACCCCATACGACGACGACGACGACTACAAGGAGGTGTGCCATAGAGAAACAAATAGAAGAGAAGAAGAAGCAGCAGCAGCAAGCAGTGTTAAAAATCAATTGTATCGACGACGACTAACCAACATCACGCTAACGAGTGACTGCAAATATTCACTTTTTTCTCCAACTGTTTGGCCTAAAAGGATTTAAAAACATTTTTTGGTGAAAAATTAAAAATTTTACATCACTTCGTAACTGCTGACTGATTTGTTTGTTACACACATAATCGGAGTCTTCTGCTTTGAAAGAAAAGAAAAAGGAAAAAAATCCCGACACAAAAAAATCTTCTCGATAATAATCCAGAGAACAACAAAAAGCAACAACAAACATCACGAAGTCAACTCCTCACCTTTAACCAACTCACCACACACAAACACACACATCCATACTCACCTACTACTCATCACTCACTCGCTCAGCTCAGCTCAGTGTGAAATTGGACGAGCACCCCCTTCCCGCCCAAGTGTTTTCTCAATAGAGGGGTCTTTGGATTTATTGCCGCAATAGATTTTCTGAAGTGTGCCATCGCGATGGCTGCTCCTGCAGCCTGTACGCGTTTCTCGGACAACTATGAGATCAAAGAGGAACTGGGCCGAGGCGCATTTTCCATTGTGAAACGTTGCGTACAGAAATCGACAGGGAATGAATTCGCCGCCAAGATCATCAATACAAAGAAATTGACCGCACGCGATTTCCAAAAGCTCGAACGCGAAGCGAGAATCTGCCGCAAATTGCACCATCCCAATATTGTGCGACTGCACGACAGCATACAGGAGGAGAACTATCACTATTTGGTATTCGATTTGGTCACAGGCGGCGAACTGTTCGAAGACATTGTCGCCCGAGAATTCTATTCGGAGGCCGATGCATCGCACTGTATCCAGCAGATATTGGAGTCCGTCAATCACTGCCACCAGAATGGTGTCGTACATCGTGATCTGAAGCCGGAGAACCTATTGCTGGCCAGCAAGGCGAAGGGTGCTGCTGTCAAATTGGCCGATTTCGGTCTGGCCATTGAGGTGCAGGGGGATCATCAGGCCTGGTTTGGTTTTGCCGGCACTCCGGGCTATCTGTCGCCCGAGGTGCTCAAGAAGGAACCCTACGGCAAACCGGTGGACATTTGGGCTTGTGGTGTTATCTTATACATTCTCCTGGTCGGTTATCCACCGTTTTGGGATGAGGATCAACACCGCCTGTATTCCCAAATCAAGGCTGGAGCTTATGATTATCCATCGCCCGAATGGGATACGGTAACACCAGAAGCCAAAAATCTAATCAATCAAATGCTTACCGTCAATCCCCACAAACGTATCACAGCTGCTGAAGCCCTCAAACATCCCTGGATATGCCAACGTGAACGTGTCGCCTCCGTGGTTCACCGCCAAGAAACTGTTGATTGCCTCAAGAAGTTCAATGCTCGTCGCAAGCTGAAGGGCGCCATACTAACGACAATGCTGGCCACGCGGAACTTCTCCAGCAAGAGTATGGTGACCAAAAAGGGCGAGGGCTCGCCCGTCAAGGACTCCACAGACTCGTCGAACGCCACCCTCGAGGATGACGATGTGAAGGCCCGTCGCCAGGAGATCATCAAAATCACCGAACAACTGATTGAGGCCATCAACAGTGGGGATTTTGATGCATACACCAAAATCGGTGATCCGCACTTGACTGCGTTTGAGCCTGAGGCCCTGGGTAATCTGGTCGAAGGAATTGACTTTCACAAATTCTATTTCGAAAATGTTTTGGGCAAAAATTGCAAAGCTATCAATACCACAATTCTCAATCCTCATGTCCATTTGCTGGGCGAGGATGCCGCTTGTATTGCTTATGTACGCTTAACACAATATATTGATAAACAGGGCCATGCCCACACCCATCAGTCGGAGGAGACACGTGTCTGGCATAAACGCGACAGCAAATGGCAGAATGTCCATTTCCATCGCAGCGCCTCGGGCAAAGTGAGTGGAGCAACGACATTTGATTTTACATCACAAAAGTAGATGGATGACGACGACGACGGCGATAATGATGATGATTGGCGACAGTGAGTGTGTGTCAGCGAGACAGCGAAAAATAGTGACAGCGACAGTAACAGTAACAACAGCAACAACAACAACGACGAGGACGATAACAACAACCGACCATCATCAACAACAGCAGCACTACCACCACCATCACCACCACTTCGACGATAATGACAATGACTTCAACGCGACATCGACACCGACGACAAGCTGTCTACCAAATGCCGTTTACAACAACAACAAGATTTTTTTCTTGAAAAAAATTACAGACTACTGTCGACACACCAACCAACCAACCAACAACAGCAACACAACTATTTACTATTTATTACAACAACAGCAACAACAACAACATAAAACAAAATAATGATGGAGCAGAGTTACAAAACAAATATGAGCAACACCATGAACAACATTTAGAGAATAAGCCGCAAACGAGGAAGAAGAGCAAGAATAACATCATGAGCAACAACAGGAACAACATCATCAGTTGTTGCAACATGTCACACAATTGTTGTTGTTCTCAATGATAATCACTGGCATGCGAAGCGATGTTAACGCGAAGAGAAAATCGAATAACTAAAAAAAAAATTGTTTTATTTTTTGTAATAAAAAAAAGCTGAGAAGAACACAACAACAACAAGAACATCACAGTAGCAGCAGCAACAACAACAACTACTACCACAATTCTATTTATTTATTTTATTTTTCTAAAGTGAAGTGAAGAGCAGCAAAAAAAGCGGGGGAGACAAAAATCATCAACTGAAGAAGAAAAGAACCAGTCGTGCAGATCAGCAGATACTGCTGTCAAACGGCCCAAAAATCGCTGGTAAAACCCAGAACCGAATCGGGGAACTCTTTAACAACCTTCTCTCCACTACACCTCCTACAACTATTACAACGCCTACGACTCCTCCACTCGATGTAACCAAGGAGATGATGAACATCCATGTAACGAATCGAATTAAGCTCCGGGTGGTATTGGGCCCCCCAAAAACAACAACAACAAATCGAACCGAATCGTCGTAGTTGAATGATACTTATGATGTGATGAGAACAACAAGCCGAAGAATACGAAGAAGAAGAAGCAGCAGCAGAAGTTGAAGAAGTACGAGAACAACAGCCGCAACAGCAGCAGCACTTGTCAGTGTATCAAATTACACAGATATTTTTTGCGTCTACGTCACCATTTTTTTTCTTACTTTAGACTCTTATAAAAAATACAAAAACAAAAAACAAATATACTTATAATTATAATTATAAAACAAAATAAAATAAAAATAAATGAATAAAACAAAAACAAAAAAGGAAAAAACCAAAAAATTCGATCGAATTCTTAAATAAATTATATCACAATTTAATAAAAATAAATAAAAGTAAAACAAATAAATGAAAACAAAAACAAAACAAAAAACATGAATAAACAACAAAACAAAAAAAAACAAAAAACCCAACAAACCCCCCAAAAAAATTATACATGTAAACATTTAAAATTTAACTAACTAATTAAATTTAATTCTAAAATAAATTCTAATTAAATTCTCAAAAATAAAAAAACCAAAAAAAAAAAAAAAACAAGGATTGGCTTTTATTTGCGGGTCTGTAGTACAGATAGATAGGGGAAGGGTTGTAGGCGAATATTCTTAGGTTAAGCTAATACTTTTGCGAATATCCGGGTAGATTTTTTATGTTATCTCATGCTGCATTTGTTTGTTGGTGACCCTATTGTACGTGACAAAACGATATATGTTTATATGTAACTATGTTCCGTGTGATTCTAGTATAAGGTTTTAATTATTTATCATACAAATATGAAATCATATTTTGATGAGTTCGTGAACAACTCTTAAATTAATGTTCTACAACATATTTTTTTCTAAGAACCGGAATTTAAATATATATAAATATTTTAAAATCAGTGAGCGGAGCAGTATGGATGGTCAGGGCCGACCATAGAATACCCTACATAACTATGACGAAAATCTAACTTTCTACGGTTTTACATTCTAAGCCTGAGCAATATTTCGCAATATTTCAATAGATCCATTTTCTAACCCTGATATATTTCTCAAATTTTTTTTCCCGAGAATAATATTTACGCCATGAAATAAAAGTTTGATAATGGCCTCTGGAGCGACTAGGAAATCTGATAAAATAAAGTTTTCGGCTCATAGCACCTCTAAATATAATCTCAACATCACCGAAAATTATAGGCGTTGTCCTTGACCAAACTGGAACTTCATGTAAAATTTCAAAGCTATCGGAGCGATATTTCCGCTCCATAGTTTGGTAATGGTAATATTAAACAATGCCAGAATACGTAGAAACATGTCAGCATTTAATTTAAACTACCACATCCAAGTACAAACATCAATATAATTGGTATCACTTCAAAGGTCAACGATCCCTCTTGGATATACTATCAACTTCTTGGGTCTATCTTCAGGAGTAAATATATACGCCCCAGAATAAAAATTTTGTCAATTTTCATACAAAAGTCTGGGTGCATTTGACCTGCTAAATATTGACCGATCCCTTCATTCTGTGTGCAATTTTGTGGTGTTCGGGTTATATTCGTGGCCTCTAGAGCCGACCAGAAAAACAGACAAAAATTATGTTTTTGATCCATTTCATTCACTAAATATTAAGGGATTATTACCAAAAACAAAAGGATCTTCTTTGGCCAGAACCCATCCTACATGCAAAAATTTCGTGACGATTGGTCCATAGCTGTGCCCTGTGCCCTGTTTACTAATTATAATGGACAGACTGAAGCACGGGCCGACACATACTTAAAGGTGGGTTTAGGATCAGTATTTCGTGGTATTACAAACCCTTGGCGCTGCACAATGTTATAATATTCAGCAACATAGTTGTGTAGGGTATAAATAGAATAAATATACAAAAACGAAAATTCGTCGGGACCCTTGGAAACTTCTAAACAACTTAAACTTAATTCATGTAAAAATATCGAATGAGATAAATGCTACAACCTGAAATCCTCCACAATATTTGATTCACAGTTCGAATGAAATCTGTTGAAAATATATATGGGGGGGTATATCTAAATCTGAAAATAACTACGTGTCTAACTCGTTACTTTTTTCATGTCACTATAGTGTGGTGAGGGGTATACAAATCAGCAAATTCTATGAATACACATAGATATTGAAACTTTTCGAATAGCTTAGTTAGGGTTCCAAATTAACGGACATTTAATTACGCCTATATTTGTACCCGAAGGGAGCGACCCAAACTTTGCACATCGTAATATTCACCATAAGGTGTAGTGTACATTAAATTTGTCATTCCGTTTGCAACACCTCGAAATATGTACCGGATAACCCATAAAGAATATTCGTACCAAAAATTTTAATATTGACACAAATTTCTAGGTAGTCCCCATATAACGGTGCCCGCAGTATTATGTATTTTGATGGTTTTGGCCACCTTTTCAACCAAATTGTCAAATACCAAACTGTCATTTAGTATTTTGCGTTCTTATTGGAATTTTGGACACATTTTTCAACCGAATTGGCTAAAAATTGGTACTTTTATTCTCATTGGCTGTCTCACTCACACGTTCCCTGTTGTGGTAACACCACTATTAGGTATTTTTTAGAATTTAAAATCACGTCTTTTTCGGTATGTTCAAGGTCATATCATAGGAGCCCCCATTATTTTAGATATTTTCAATGTCATTCCCATGGCGGAGGGTATAAAAAGTTCTGCCGGGCAGAACTTAACATCTTTATACCCTTCACCACACTGTGGTACAGGGTATTATGTCATTGTGCATATGTTTGTAAAAGGCAAAAATAATCGAGATAGACTCATGGTTCCTTTTGAGAATATGCATAGAGTCACTTTCTGAGTCGATTTATGCATGTCCGTCTATCCGTCCGTCCGTCCGCCCATGTATTTTTGTTAACAAAATACAGGTCGCATTTGTGATCCGATTTGGATGAAATTTGTCACAGTTCACTTATTTGGCCCAAGGACAAACCCTATTGAAATTGGGAAAAATCGGTTCAGATTTAGATATAGCTCCCATATATATTTTCGTCCGATTTTAGGTAAATAGTGCACCAAAGTCCATATATATCCTTCAATTTGCACGAAATTTGGCACAGCGTACTGAATTAGGTCCAGAGTGATGTGTGTCAAGTTTCGAGAAAATCGGTTCAGATTTACATATAGCTCCCATATATTGTTTCGTCCGATTTAAAGTAAATGGTGCACCAAAGTCCCTATATATCATTCGATTTGCACAAAATTTGGCATAGAGTACTGAATTAGTGCTGATGTGTGCCAAGTTTCGAGAAAATCGGTTCAGATTTAGATATAGCTCTCATATATAGTTTTTTTTTCGATTCTATGTAAATGGTGCACCAAAGTTCCTATATACATTTCGATTTGCATGAAATTTGGCACATCGTACTGAATAAAGTTTAGAATGATGTGTGCTAAGTTTCGGAAAAATCGGTTCTGGTTTCGATATAGCTCCCACATATACATATATATTCGTCCGATTTTACATAAATGGTGAAATTGATGTAGATGCTGTCATAGCTTCCATATGTATTTCGAATGGAAGTCTGAATGAAATTAAAATTTTAAAAGTGCGGCGAACGAATAGCGTGTATTACTTTTGCTATAAGTCGTTTTTCATAAATTTGTCTCATGGTACAAAGTCGATTTTAAATCTGCCCGAATGAAATTAAATTTATCATAGGTTGCAGAAAGACTTGCGTATGTTCCTAGGAGGGGATACATATGTACAATATACCCAAAGTGGTGAAGGGTATCATGTAGTCGGCCCATTCCGACTTTACTGCTTTCCTTACTGATTTAGAAATTTGAATTGTGAGAGCTACCTACTTCTAAAAAGTATTGCAAATATTTTTTCGCCTAACGAGAACCATTTGGTGAAACTATGAGGCTAAAACCTTTAAAATGCCGAAAGTGCAGCAGAATCTCTATATTGGAGCTATATAAAAATATGAAC